CAGGCTGTCAGTGTCCTTTACCCACATCCCACCCTTGTGTACCTGCTGGCCTTGGTTTTGTGTCTCCTGTAGCCAGCCCCTAGCTGTGTTCCTGGAGCCTTTGCTGTCCTTGTCACCAAGTGCTGACCTGATGGACTTTCTCAGGCAAGGAATTGTACCCATAGCACCCTTCAGCATCAAATTACTTCCATCATTTCCTCTTTTCTTCATGGTCTGCAGTATGGATGTGCTGCAGCCCACATCCCCTGCAGTGTGGGTACCTCTGCTGTGCTCTCTGCCACCTGCCTGTGGCACAGACAGTCTCCTCCCTTGCTGTCTCCACCTGGTGTAGCACAGCCGATAACATGGCTGTATTTCTGAGTATATCCAAGTGCTGTCCACAAAGACCCAGGCTGCATGGCAGAGCTTCCAGACGTGCTGCACCTAAGTCTGTGCTTAGATGAGGGCTTTGGAAAAGCTCTGGGCGTCTGGGGAGACAAGTCCCATGTTGCTTATGAGCAGTAGCTTCCCTCTGAAGCGCTCTCATCTGGTTTTCCCGGTGAAAGCCAGGCTTTCCCAGTGCCTGCTCTCATTTGTACCTCTCTAAGCTCTGTGCAGAGACATCTGATGTGGGTCCAGTTGTCTTCCTGGCTGTAGAGTGGCCCTGGAATGGGCCCCAAGTTGGTCTAGGTGCCAGAAGCCAAGCACTGAGTCGGGGCAGATGAGGTTTCCATCACCCCTGTTCTGCTCTGAGGCTCCCAAGATCTCCTCTGCATGCTGGGGTAGACACCCTTGGCCCTTAGCTGCAGCTCCTTGGGTCAGGAGACAAGGGTGCACGATGCTTGGACACCTGAGAGCCCAGGGAACTCTGCAGTCTAAATGTGTACCAGCTGGAGGTCTGTGCTGCTGGGAGCACTGGAACACAGCCCTGTCAGTGCTGGGACTCCCTGCCTGTAATCCCACAGTGACAGATGAAATGGGCTGGCTGGGTCCCACCTCACGTAGAGTTACTGTGCACTGGGGCCAAACTGCAGCTCCACAGATAACGCAGGTATGTCCTGTCTGTCAAGAGACCACCGTTGCAGCTGTAACACTGTCCTCTTCATATGCTCCTGGAGCTTTACTTTGGCTTTAGAACCTGTGTGTGACTTGGGCACCCTCTGTACATGCTGTGTAGTGCTTCAGGGACTCTTACAATAAGTGGGTTAGTGATGAGCAGAGTGGCTCTGGGCTGTGTCCTCCAGCCCCTCTGCTCTTTCTCTCTGGTGTGAATGGGAGGCAGCTGTGTTTTCCTTAGTTCCTAGCTGGATGCTATGATTCTGGTGTTGGGAAGGAGCACTTTGAAAGTAATAGGTGATGGCTGCTCTTGTGGAGAGTGTGGAAGTGGGTGACCCTGTGATTTATGTGACAGGCTGCATCAAACCACGTGCCCTGGCCTGTGTCAAGAGTTATGAAGTACTTCCCATTACTAGTGAGTGCTTTAGCAACACGTCTGTGTCTCACTGCCCAGTAGCCACTGCTTGCAGTGACTGTCTCACCATGAGCTATGCTGAGCAGGGGGGTTGGAACTGGATGCTCTTAGGATCCTTTCCAACCCAAACTGGTCTATGATTCTATGAGCTTCCCCCTCCCAACCTGCCCTGGACTCACTTGCCATCTCCCTGCTGTAAGACCTATGCTGGTTGCACTGGGGAGAGCAGGGACTGGGGCAGAACTGTTAGGCTGAGACAACCAGGAGCAGAGCAGACCTAGCAAGGACCAGCAGGATCCCTCCCTGATGTGCAGCTTCCTTTTCTTTTGTCAACTGGGGAAAAGCAGCTCCCCAGCAGGGTGATTTTACTGTAAGGTTGCATCTGATCAGTCTAACATGCAGGTCCAATACTTTTTTCCTAAGCAGTTAACATCAAGAAACTAATAATTAACTGATAAAGCACACTGAAGCAAGCCCAAGGCAGCTCCTGCTCTCTGGGGTTTTCACCATTGCACTCTTGGGTTGATGTTTCTTTCTCTCTTGCTTTTGGTTGAAGGCCAGTGATGCTGAGCCCAGTCACACATGAACTGGGCTGGTGCCTCGGTGTGGGTCTGGCTGGATTTCTGCTGCTCTGAGTGGCCTCTTTTGCCTCCTCATAGTAATGGATGTGTACAGAGGGGCCTGAATACTTCCTGTTTAACTGATGGGGGGGGCCCAACCTTGGCCTTTCTGCAGCTGCTGCACTGCCGTTGGTGCAGCACCAGTGACTGGGGGCTGCTGGTCCCCAGCTCAGGTGGAACGGCGTCACACTGGCAGGAGGGCTCTGAGCTCTGGTTGCTTGACTGATGCTGTGAGCACAAGGCCTTTCTCACTCAGGTGGTGATCCCATGGTCCCCTGGTTTCACCGATGGTGCTGATCCCTGGAAGCACCATGGATGTACTCACTCAACCAGTGTGTGCCTTGCCCTTTGGTTTGGAAAGTGCCCAAGCAGTGACTGAAGTGCTTTTATTACTGGGCAGCGTCTGGCACTTGGACTTAGAGCAATTCTGTGCTTTTTTCCAAGCACAGCTTTAGGTGACTGACTTGGCTTGGTTTGAGAACAGCACTTTGAGCCTCTTTCAGGGGCTATTTACATCTTCTAATAATGTTTCAATCTGCCAGTACCATGACATGCATCCATTTAATATTTGCTGCTCTGATCTTTTAAAGTGGTTTTCTATGAGAAGTGATACAGTATGAAATTAAATGTCTCCTGGAGATCCATCCTATGTCTGGATGACACATGAGCTCACATCAGCTGTCCTTGGCAACCAGACCTGCTCAGCATTGCTTGATGTAGCCAGCCTGACCGTGGCTTCCTCTCCAGTGTGCTGCGTTGGTTGAATACGCGGTACATCAGCATGTTTTACCCCATGTTTTACTGCATCACATCCATGGCCCACATTTTGCTTTTTTCCATCCAGCATCCCTGTGGCCATTGAGTGACAAGGCTGAGAGAGCTGGGCTGGGGCAGCCTGGGGAAGAGAAGGGGAGACCTGAGAGCAGCTCCAGTGCCTAAAGGGGCTGCAGGAAAGCTGGAGAGGGGCTTGGGACAAGGGCCTGTAGGGACAGGCCAAGGGGAACGGCTTGAACCTGCCCGAGGGGAGACTGAGCTGAGCTCTTAGGCAGAAGCTCTTCCCTGTGAGGGTGCTGAGGCGCTGGCACAGGGTGCCCAGAGAAGCTGTGGCTGCCCCATCCCTGGCAGTGCTCAAGGCCAGGTTGGACACAGAGGCTTGGAGCAAGCTGCTCCAGTGGAAGGGGTCCCTGCCCGTGGCAGGGGTTGGAGCTGGAGGAGCTTTAAGGTCCCTTCAACACAACCCAGTCTGTGGCTCCATGACTTGGGCCTGTTGTCCCAGTGGGCAGCCTGGACATGGGCACTGGCAGCGCCACGCCAGGCAATGGGGCTGAGCCGCAGGAGCGTGGCCGCTGCGGCAGAGACTCCCCCACCACGTGGTTGACACTCATCAGAGACCAAGCTGGTCGCGTTGCCATGGCAATGGGGAGGTGTACGGGATTCTTGTACTTTGAACCTACAATACTGCGGGTGCTCCGCACAGCACGGCTGGGAAGCGCCCTCAGGGCCTGCAGTCAAGGCTCCTTCAGTGTGGGCAGCGTCCTGCCCAGAGCCCTGCCTGCTCCCGTCCTCTGCAGCCCCGCAATGGTGGCCCCGTGTTCAGGGCTCCTGTGCCTTTGTGCAGGTTGTGGTGGGATTCCATGGCCTGGGGAGGGTGGAGCTGGGGAGTCCTGGATGTGGATGGGGCTGGGATCCCCTTTAGCAGGATCATGCCATATCTGAACGTGTCTTTGAGCAGCACAGGAGACGTCCCCATGCTCTACCTGTCCCCTTGCTTTTGCCACTACGCTTGCACCACAGATGGGTGAATGTTGTTGACTCAAGCTCCTGCTGGACACTGCCCCCTGTCAGCAAACCAAAGCATCTTGTGCTTCAGGAAGCAAATGGGTTCATTGCAATCTAGGAACATGCATTCTTCCTGCCCTGAGGTCTGCGGTGCTGCAGCTCCACAGCCCTTCACCCTCCCGACCACCTTGCACTCCTGTGTCCACTGCTTCTCCCTCTGCAGAGCTCCAGCCTGAGGCAGGAGGCTGCATCCTCAGGTGCCTCCATGAGGTCCATGTCTTCCACACGCCTCCAAGGGTTGGGTGGGTGTCAGGCAGGGCTGGAGTCGCTGGTGGTTTATTTGGGGACTGTATGCTCTAGGCTTGCTCCTGGCACATGCCTGGGGCTACAGACTCTTTTCCTCCCTGTGAGGGTGGTGGAAAAAGCCAAGGTTGGACAGAGCCTTGGGTGCCATGGTTTAGAGTGAGGGGTCCCTGCCCATGGTGAGGGGTTGGAACTGGATGAGCTTAGGGTCCTTTCCAACCCAAACCATTCCATGATTCTACAACACGGGCACAGGGTGCCCAGAGAAGCTGTGGCTGCCCCATCCCTGGCAGTGCTCAAGGCCAGGTTGGACACAGGGGCTTGGAGCAAGCTGCTCCAGTGGAAGGGGTCCCTGCCCGTGGCAGGGGTTGGAGCTGGAGGAGCTTTAAGGTCCCTTTAACCCAAACCAGGCTGGGATTCTTTGATCCTGTGATTTAGGCCTTTTGTCAGTGAGAGGAAACGGTGGTTGGGGTGACTGCTGGTGTCCATGTCCTGTGCATGTGTCTCCACCTCCAGCCTGAGACGGAGCTGGAGCTGGGCTCACAGGGGTCCCCCTGTACCCCCTCTGATTGCCGTTGCTGCCTCCCCCCCTGGCAGTGCTCCTTGATGCTGCCTGGAATGCCACCTCCCGTGGGCCTCGCCTGTCCCATGTGCTCCTGGGGGGTTTCTGTGCGGTGCTGGAGGCAGGCGGAGCTCCATCCTCCTGGCCCTTCCTGCCCTCCCACCAGCTCCATGTGCTTTCCCAGCCCTCCCGCCTCGCCGCCATCGTCCCCCGGCGCCGGTGCGCAGCGGCCCTGCAGTGCTCTGCTGTCTGACGGTGTCTAACGGCGCTTTCCCCTCTCTTGCAGTGCCTTTCAGAGAGACCCCCAGCTACACAAAGCGGCGGCGGCTGCTGGGCATGGCCGGCCTGGCCTCCCCACGCGTGCTGCAGCGCTCAGCCAGCGACAACAACCTGAAGGCCGAGAGCCGGGCGTCCTACTCGCCGGTGCCGTCGCTGCGCAGCCTCCCGCCGCAGCTGCTGGCGCAGATGCAGGAGGCGGCGGTGGATGGCAGCGCCCGCAGCGCCCACAGCCGCTCCCCGTCCCTGCAGCGCGTGCAGGAGGAGAAGGAGGCCGAGGCGCCCTCGCTCCGCAGGAGCAGCCGCGGCAAGGCCAGGTGAGGGGCCGGGGGGAGGCCGCTCTGTGCCACGGGCCGTGGGTGCTGTGGGTCCCACCAGAGACCCCGTGGGCCAGCGGGTGAGGAGCGGGGATGCTGCTGGAGCCCACGGGAGCCCTGTGTCCCCTGTCTGTGTTGCTCTGGCACCGAAGGGTTCATTCCTTGGTTTCCTCCCAGCCCTCACCCTCATCTCGTGTCTCAGGGAAGTGGTGAGTGCATCAACTCCATGTTGTGCTGGTTGTTGCTATGGCAATGATGCATCTTGAAAACCAACACTTTGAGGTGGCAAACTGTGGATGAGCAAACACCTGATGCTGGTGTCCCACCCAGCCGGTGATAGCCGTGGTTGCAGTTACCAGTATCCTGCCATGGGCCATGGTGGTGGCATTGCTCTGCTACACCATGCCCAGAGTGGCAGATGGGTGCCCTCGCCTTACCCACTGAGAAGTGCAGGAGCCTTCCCTGTGTGTTCTGATGGACCACAGGTATTGGGAGCGACACAGACCATGTGTCCTGCTGCTGCTTCCCATCCCTTGCTGCCCATGGGCAGTGCCAGTGTCAGCTCTGACACTGCTCACCACTGCTGGCACTTGCCTGCGGCTGGGAGCCAGGTCTGGGTACCCACTGGATCCAGGGGGATGGCTGTGCTGCCCTCAGACAGCGGAGGTCTGGGTGCTGGAGCTCAGAACCCCCCGTGTGCTGGGTGTGATGGAAGGCATCCCTGCCTGTGGTGGGGGATTGGAGCTGTGTGAGTGTAAGCTCCTTTCCAAGGCAGACCGGTCCATGGCTCTTTGAGGTGCTGTGGAAAGTCTTTGTGGCCAAGGGTCTCTCTGGTGAGAACTGGGCTCAGGCTTTGCTGCTGGTGGAGAGGGGAGACTGACCACAGCTGTGGCTGATGTGATGTCTGCTCAGAGAGGACTGATGAGAACCTCTGGTACCATGAGGCCAGAGCAGGAGTTCAGAGCATGGGCACCCGCTCTGGCTTGTAGCTGTGTTCACTCATGTCCAAATGGATTTAAGCATTGAAGAGGCAGTCTGCAGATGGCAGCTATTTACATAAGCTCCAGAGCAGGAACAGCTCAGAGGCCCTTTGAGGCAATCTAAATAATTTTGGGGGAAAGAAACATGTCAGTGAATAAAAAATAATGAAGATAAATGTAAAATAGCTACTGGAGGAGAGAAAAGTGACCCAGTGAAATACCTGAGGAGATTCTTAATTATGGTTTAACTCAGGAGAAGTTGCAGGATGATTCTAAAGAGCTCAGCGGAGGCCTCTGCTCAGTGGCAGCTTGAGCATAGGATACAGCACTCTTGGATGACCAAAGTGTGATGGGTGATGGATGATCATACGGAAAACAGTCTAGTGCCTCGGTCAGAATCAGTGATGACACCTCTGGGTGCTGCCTGTCAGCAGGAGCAGCAGGAGCTGAAGGGTTCAGAGATGCCGTGGACATGGTCAGGAATGAGAGAACAGGAATGTCTGGTCTGAAGAGACGTCCACAGGAGCGGGGTCATTACCTTAGAAACGAGAGGAATATAGGAAGCATGTTAAAAACACTGAAAATGCCACATTCTTGGCTGAGGGAAAGGGGGAACCTCTGCCTGTGTCATGGCACGAGGAGAGAGGAATGTGCAATGAGAGGAATAGGAAGCACACTCAAACCAGTACAAACCAGTAGGTTTTCGCCACCCTGCAGTGAGCTCAGAATTCAGTGCCTTGGAAGCTGCTGAAGCTACAGCACAGTGCAGCACAGTGGTGTGCCTGGAAAGAATACTGTGGGCTTCTGTAAGCAGAGGCTTGGGAAGTGTTCCCAGAAGTACCTGGAGCAGCTGATGGCCAGGCAGGAGCAGGGCAGCAGGAAGGGTCGAGCCATTCCCAGCCAGGCAGTTCCCAGGGAGGGGAAACTAGGATCATGACTGGGCTGGAGACACAGGGGGCTTGGGATCTGCCATGAGCAGCAGCACGAGGGGGACGTACAAGTGGGTCTGTAATGCTGCTGTAAGATAACAGTGGTCAGCAGCTGGGTGCAGTGGTCAGCAGCTGGGTGCAGTGGTCAGCAGCAAGGTGCAGTGGTCAGCAGCTGGGTGCAGTGGTCAGTAGTGGATTCAGTGGTCAGCAGCAGGGTGCAGTGGTCAGTAGTGGATTCAGTGGTCAGCAGCAGGGTGCAGTGGTCAGCAGTGGGTGCAGTGGTCAGTAGTGGGTACAGTGGTCAGCAGAGGATGCAGTGGTCAGCAGTGGGTGCAGTGGTCAGCAGAGGGTGCAGTGGTCAGCAGTGGGTACAGTGGTCAGCAGTGGGTGCAGTGGTCAGCAGTGGGTGCAGTGGTCAGCAGTGGTTGCAGTGGTCAGTAGTGGATGCAGTGGTCAGCAGCAGGGTGCAGTGGTCAGCAGCAGGGTGCAGTGGTCAGCAGTGGGTGCAGTGGTCAGCAGAGGGTGCAGTGGTCAGCAGAGGATTCAGTGGTCAGCAGCAGGGTACAGTGGTCAGCAGTGGGTGCAGTGGTCAGCAGAGGATGCAGTGGTCAGCAGAGGATTCAGTGGTCAGCAGCAGGGTGCAGTGGTCAGTAGTGGATTCAGTGGTCAGCAGAGGGTGCAGTGGTCAGCAGAGGGTGCAGTGGTCAGCAGAGGATGCAGTGGTCAGCAGCTGGGTGCAGTGGTCAGCAGCAGGGTGCAGTGGTCAGTAGTGGATTCAGTGGTCAGCAGAGGGTGCAGTGGTCAGCAGAGGGTGCAGTGGTCAGCAGAGGATGCAGTGGTCAGCAGTGGGTGCAGTGGTCAGCAGTGGTTGCAGTGGTCAGTAGTGGATTCAGTGGTCAGCAGCAGGGTACAGTGGTCAGCAGTGGGTGCAGTGGTCAGTAGTGGATTCAGTGGTCAGCAGAGGGTGCAGTGGTCAGCAGAGGATGCAGTGGTCAGCAGCTGGGTGCAGTGGTCAGCAGCAGGGTGCAGTGGTCAGTAGTGGATTCAGTGGTCAGCAGCAGGGTGCAGTGGTCAGCAGCAGGGTGCAGTGGTCAGCAGCTGGGTGCAGTGGTCAGCAGCAGGGTGCAGTGGTCAGCAGTGGATGCAGTGGTCAGCAGCAGGGTGCAGTGGTCAGTAGTGGATGCAGTGGTCAGCAGCAGGGTGCAGTGGTCAGCAGTGGGTTAGAACTGGCTGAGCTTTAAGGTCCCTTTCAACCCAACCCAGGCTGTGACTCTGACACTCCAAGTGACACATCATCCGCTCGCAGCGCTGCTGTTCAGCACGATGCTGTGCGCTTGCCGGTGCTCAGAGCAGCTCATTAACAGCAGCAGTTTGTGTAACTCGGTGTTTCTTTCACTCCTCTTTGGCCTTTTCACCCACCTGCTCTGTCCCAGAGTGCTTGTGTTGGTTTGACAGAGCTGCTGTGTCGGGCGATGCAGTGATCCCTATCACTGAGGGCTCCCATCCCAGGGATGCATCATTTGCCAATAAGAAAGCCTTCGCTGTGTGCTAAGTGACAAGGCATTTCATCCATAAACATGTGGAGTTCTCTCATGTCTTCCTTCAGAAGTCGTGCAGAAAAATTCCTTCTGGATCAGATTTTTATTAGAATATCAGTAAATGGAGTGTCTGCAAACGTGACCCCAAAACTCTTTTCTGTGAGAAGAGTCCCCAGCAAAACTCTGGTTGTTTTGCAGATGTATTCCAGATGGCAAAGGGAATGTCAATGAGCACCAGCTCAACGCTGGCATCTCGACTTGTCCAGCAGTGATGCGCAGCAGCCCCTCGCACTGTGCCCTGCAGCCTCAGTGCTGGCTCTCAGCCCTGCTGGCTGCAGATGTTCCTCATCTGTGTTTCTCCCTTGACTTTAGCCACACCAATGGTTCTGGTGGCCAAGTCCTTCCATGGGCTTCTCCTGTGGGAGCATAGGTCTGATCAAGGAGCAGGGCTGGGGGTACAAGCCCAGGGTGGAGTCCAGGCTCCTGGGAGCCCTGTCTGTCTCATCTGGGGGACTCCTGACCGTGGTGCATCCCTGCAGCAAGGGATGGACCGTGGTCCGTAGCTGATATGTGCAATCCATGTTGCTGAGTAAGGTCAGAATCCTTTTTCTCCCATTGTTGAGTGCAGTTCTAGCACAGATGAACAAGTCAGCACGAGGGAACTGTGGACCCTCACCAGGTCATCACTGTTGCTGTGAAAAGCATCTATGGAAACAGGACTATTGTCTATTTATTTTCATAATGGAATTTCTACTCCCACAGAATTCAGAAGTGTTTGAGAAGTATTTGAGAGTATTGCCATCCCTGCAGCAAGGGATGGACCGTGGTCAGGATCCTCCCAGACAGGGCAGGCAGGATTCCAAGGAGCCTAGTGTGAAGGACCTGGGTGATGCTGGTGGTTAATCCACCCCAGCGATGCTTGGGTGAGCCTTTCACACTGTGTCCCCAAATGCCTGTTGGTGGCTGGCTGCTTTGGTGCTAATAATCCACTGCAGGGAGTGAGCCCTGTTGCTGATGCAGTTGGCTCTGAATGCCCCAGTTCTGCTGGGGAGCATCAGAGGTCCAGGGAGGAGCAGTGGGAAGGGTCTAACCCCGGACCTCCACTGTGCTCACCCTGCCTGTTCTTGGGAACCCTGTGATGAATGTGCCCAGTGTTTCCCTCACTCCTGCCTCTCCCTGTCCCCACCACTAGGATGTCCTGAGTATTTCTTCCTCCAGTTTGCTTTGCCGTGTTTGCTCCACGTAGGTGCAGTGAAGAGCTCCCTCCCATCCCCTTCACAGTGTCTTGCACACGCTGAAGAACACTTGCCACATTCTCCTTGATGCCATCTCCTCTGCTGGCTGTTAAGCCCCATTGCCTCGCCCTTCCCAAAGCTCCGTCTTCTCCAAGCTCCTCTGTGGCTCCTCTCTAGGCTCCCCTGCCCCAGTGCTTCCCTGTGGCCTGGTGTTGGGGCAGGCACTCTGCAGAGCAGTGGAGTTAGGCTGTGTTTCCCAGGCTGTAGTTGGCACTGCTCACCCTATGCTCTGTGGTGTGATGTGTGACTCACACTCAG